GAGTTGATATTTTCATCAATTCAGAAGGTGAAGGTTCGTTCCATGTTCGCCATCGTTGCCGGCTGCCTCATGCCTCATAGGCACCACACCGCTTACAACTTAAAGTATTTGGTATAGTAGTCGCGGAAAAAGGTGTAGTCGAATTGGCCGTAATTGGTGTATCCCTTGTACTGGTAGTAGGGCTCCATTGTGTCGGTGTGGAAGATAGTCACATCCTTGAAGTACATGTTGGGCACGAAGAATTCGTACTCATCAATCGCGCGGTCGAAGGGATAGCCGAATGGCATGTTGTCAACGAAGCGGGCACCGGATCCAATGCCGCAGGAATAGGTGTAGTCAAAGGTGGAGAACTGCTCGTGGCTGGGGGCGTTGTATGGCATCACCATGAAGAACATCTGCATGGGCATACCCTTCTTCCATCCCATGGGCAAGACCAGGCGATCGGGGAAGCCGCAGTGGGGCTCACTCATGTCCAGAGGGAACTGGTACTTGCCATCGAAGGCCATCATCACGTAATTGTACAGCTCGGTGTAGGTAGTGCGATCCTTGACGGTCCAGTAGAAATCGTTGGACTTGCGGGTGATGACATTGCTGCCGGCCTTCAGGTCGTAGTAGAACTCATCGACTTCCATAAAGTTCATGCGGTTCTCGGTGAGGGAAATCATCTTTCCGAACTCATCGAACTTGGGTCCCAGGAAGGCGCGCACCACAACCTTCTCGACCTTGTCGGACTCGATGGTGTAGGTGTAGGTGAAGGGCTTGTGGTTCAGACGCATCTGGCGGGCATACAGAGACTTGTCCCACACGAACTTTCCATCGTGGAAGACCATCTTGTCGTTCAGCATGTTGGTCACATCAAAATCAACCAGATCGAAGTAGGTGGTCAAATCGCTGACCTCCACGTGCTTCATGGTCACACCGGGCATCAGCAGCTGCTCCTTGGTGTACTTGGGCAGATAGTGCATGAACTTGAAGTAGATCGAAGCGATCGACTTGTAGAACATGTAATACATGGGATCGCGCATCATCGTCTCGAAGTTCAGCATCACATTGGGGTAAACCTCCATCTGGTGGTAGTCGGCATCGGCAAAGTACATATGGGCCAGCATGTACCAGAATTGGTAGAACATTTTGTCCATGGAATCGATGTTGCCCTGCATCATGTTGCCAATGAACTCAATGGATTCGGGTTTGCGCAAATCAATCATGTGACCGTCCATTGTCTTGTAGTAGCCCAGGTCAATGATGTCCTCGATGCGCTTCATGAATCCGGTGATCTTGTCGAGCATTTCGAAGTTTCCGTACGTCTCCAATTCATAATAGTTCTTGCGATAGCTGTAGCCAACGCCGTTGTAGTAGATCATCTGGGGATCGTAGCCCATCTCGATCTGGTGGTACCAGGAGAACTCGGGAATATCGCCGAAGCCGTGCGACAGGCGCTCCATGTAGTAGCGGCTGAGCAGCTGGTGGACGTTGTACAGCCACCATTCACCGCGACGATCGTTCTTCAGACCGAAGCTGGTGCCGTCCAGGAAAAAGGAGTAGTCCATATTCAGGTAGTACCAGTAAGCGTTCCAGCCCAGATCCTCGGTGAAATAGGACAGCTTCGATTCCTCATTGTACAGATCGAGGTCGCGGGTGTAGTCGACGGGCATCCAGAAGATCTTGACGTCCTCCATCATCGCTAGCCATTTGGTGTCCTGATTGAATTCGTAGATGTTCTCGCGGAGAATGTACTTGTCCTCGCTGTACCAGTGCTCGCCCAGACCCATCAGTTTCCACCACTGCCACATCTTGAAGTCCTTCATGTACATATAGTCGCCGTTCTGGTACATGTTGCCGTGCTGCTCTCCCTTGAAGTAAACATCCAAATACTCCTTCTCGTACATGGTCATCTTCATCCACATCTCGTAGTCGAATTTCTCAGCCTCGTAAACGAACTTGCTGTTGAAGAAGAACTGCGGGAAGATCTCGTAAATGGAAGGCAGCATCAGGCCGTGGAAGTCCTCGCGATGGATGACAGCCAGTGTAAGGGCGTAGACAAACATGCCCTCGTTCACATGAATACGGGCCCAGGCGGCGTTGTGCATGAAAGTCTCCCAGTCCTTGGCATAGTAGAAGAAGTTGAAGAGACCGCGCGCCTGCTTGGCATGAGACTTGACCAGCTCGCCAAAGAACTCGCCCTTGGGGAGCAGTGAGTGCGTCTTGTACGCCTCGAAGAATGCCTTCATGTATTTGTCATAGTGCTGTGGGTATTCAAAGTTTTGTATGGCATTAGAAACTACCTGTCTAGGCTGGTGGCAGGCTTTAAGGGACAAACACTCACAGTGTAGTACGACTGCTCAACGTATAATTTATTGCCCAGCTTGATGATATCCTCGATGAACAGAGGATCCTCGATGCGGTAGACCACCTCGTACAGGAACTTCTGCTTCAGCAGGAATTCCTTATCGGCGATCTTAACCTCATGCGTTTGGTGGAAATTGGCCGCGGCGACCAGGCCCAGGCAGGCCAGCAATGCAATGGCAATCTTCATGTTGACGACTCCTTCGACCACACACACTCAACTTTCAACTGCTCCGGATTAGACACACTGAATGGATCCAATGCCTAAAGACTGTTGCCTTTCTCCAGCCACGGCCGCTGCTTATATAGCCCAAATCCCAGGCACCCAATATCGAACAAGGCAGCGTTTCAATGTTGATATCAGTCTCGGTCCAGTGCAGTTCAGTAAAAGTTCAGGGTCAGCAAGTGTATCTCAGGTGGTCTGACCATCTGTCGCAAGCTCTTGGTGCGCAGCTATCGTCAGCGACTCGGACTGTGGCTTATCAATCGCACCAACGCCGCCTAGTCGCATCCGTACAGGTTGTCGTCAAGGGGCATCTGCAGTTGCAATCATGAAAGCCATTAAACATAAGCAACAACAAATCCGGGTACCGCGAGCCAAAAATAAATTTGATGCAATTTTGTTTTTGGATCGAATATTTGTGAGTTTCGCAGCAGCTTGATTTCTGATTAGCTGAAGGTTCTTACCATATCGCTCCATATGTATTGGGAGAATTGAAGTTGGAGTCAAGTTGGGTCTAGTTTCAATGCCAGTTTCCAGAGGATCTTTAACGATCTCTAAGCATTTAAAAGTATTAAGTATAAAGTATTAATATTAAATAAATCAGAGACTGCTTCATTTCTTTTAGGTTTTTCTTTTTCTTTATTTTGATTTTATTTGTAGTTTTGTAATGAAAGTACTTTTCTTAGTTAATGCAGAAAAATGTTGCTATCTAAGTAAGTAGATGTTAAGTTATAATCGACATGGAAATTTGTTTGTATATTTACTTGGGATATTCTTTGAGTGTGATATTTCTTCTTCTTTGCCTTTGTTTTTTCTGTGATTTATTTTAATGTTTTAATTGAATGTTTGTATGTATGTATATGTATGTATGTATAGCAATTAGAATATAAATGTATGAATTTATTTATAAAGTATTTGATTTGCTTATCTCCCGTTTCGCTTACGCTATCGCTATCGCTCTCGTTTCTCTTCATTTATTGGACTCTTCTGCGCTTAGCTGCTTTAACTATACAAAAATTATTTTTAAGTATGCCCCAGCGCCCATTACTAATTTCAATATCAAAACTCTTATGATCATCGCTTCACACTCAAAAATGTATGTATCTCATTATGGGTATATTCCAAGTACTCTCAGAGAGGGGGCGGTGCGAAAACAAAATGCACAACAGAAACTTAACAAACATTAGGGTCCATTATTGTTAAATACACTCATACTTTTAAGAAAAGTTACTGCATTTACGATTTATGCTATTATATATACGATTCAAAATGTATTCTTTCTATATGTATTTGTATCTCTTCTCAGCTTGTATTGGAGTCCAAGAGCCCCAAGAACAATAGTGGGTACAACTATCAAAATGGTGTACTCGTATGCATAATTGTCAGTTATCAGTTAATAATATTACATTTAATGCCATGCCAAATATTTCTAAAGCATCCAGCATGTTTATTTGTCCGTTGCCTACGGCTATTGTCGCACATCTTTCTTTAGTTTGGGAGTTGCACTGCTCTCTGGCCGATCTGCCTTAACATATTGGATATACATAAACACACATCGCTTACTGTAAACATAGTATATGTATTATGTATTTATGTATGTATATCCTGCTTATATAAAAACACCAATTATGCAAATATAGTTAAAAAACGTTACAAGAAATCCATCCATCTGATAACAAAAACTGTTTATTCCCTCTCCACATCCAACCAAAGAGGGGTGTCCTGGAGAGGGATTTACATTAATACATTTGTTTGTCTGTGTGTGGGTGTGTCGTGTGTGATTTACAGATCATCTAATATTGTTACAAGAAGCACCACAGTAGTTAGTAGCATTAAATAACATAGTTTTCCGTCTTTGTTTTTTTTTTCGCTCTTTAGTTTTCTCAGTACATTTAAATTGTGTAAAATTATTGTATTGTCCACCCAACATTCTTCCTCAAAAGTTCACATATCTGTAGATTTTTGTTTTATTGTCATACAAATTGCATTTGCCTTTCCCATCCTTAATTCTTATATATTGTAGGTATATTAATATATTATAATTCCTATTGTACAATGCCAATGGGCTTCAGTTGCGGCCCAGCTAAGGTTTAGGTTTATTCGATATTATTATTATCATCTTCATTTTTGCATTACAATTTATTGTCATTGTGTCGCATAATTATTGTCAGCTTACACTTTACTTGGAATCGCATTGCAAATATTTTTGATTCTTCGTTATTTAGGTTTTTGTTGTTGTTGCTGTTGCTGTTGTAGTTTCTATAAAAATTACAATTTTACGGTACTAGAGATGTAGATGTATAAGTAAATTTAATAAGTATACATGTAAAAAAGTAGAATTCCATACTCGTAAATTTACAAAAAGATCCTTGCTCTGCTCCCATCAACCGCACAGGATCGTCGGCTGTGGCCTAACTTCCCACTTCCCACTTCCCCACTACCCACTTGCACTCTCTATCCCCATACCCCCCTTCGTAGCAGTACATGCATGCATACACATAATTTCAACAGTTTTACATCTTATGAATTATTATCAAGATATGTTTTTCAGATGATATTAGCCTGGTTGTGAATATCGCCTAGCGGCCCAACAATACCCAACAGACACGGCTCTGGGCTTCGTTATAAAATCATAAATTCGTCGAGAGTAATAGAAGGAAGTACCAAACAAAAATAGGGCAGGTAGGTTGTGCGGGCCGGGATATGTGTTAAGTGATCTAGGATATGTGCTCAAAGAACGGAGACCCAGGAGACCCCGTCTGTCGGATCATTTTGAAGTTGAACTCTAATTAATGCCAATTAACTGGCCACGGCCAGAACACTATCAGGCAAGTACATGGCCAGTGAGAAGGAGACGTGTCGCAACCAGACTAAAGACTGTTGAAATTGTGTAGGTCATGAGGCCTACTGCCCAACTGCCAACCGAGCCACCCGATGCACCCATGTCCACCACGTTGATCTTCCAGCCCAGATTATTATGGGTAAAGCACTGCAAAGGGAGATTGTGTATTATGAAATATCTTCTGGGGGGTGGGTGTGGGTTCTAGGGGGACCAACCTGATAGTACAGCTGATCGGGCGCATTCATGGGAACTGTCCAATTAAGATAGTCCGGCTCTCCATCCTCGCACTTGAAGACCAGCGTTTTAACGTACTCCTCAAAAGTCTCAATCTCGGCTGAACGATCGACGGTCAGATGCTCCCACTCGCAATAGCGTCCAGCTGAAAGAGGGAGGGAGGAAATCCATTAATGGAGGGAGTATTACGGGGGAGTTGCTGCACCCACCGGCCGTTGGTATGGCATTGCCATCTTCGTCGTATTCCACACCGGCGTATGCCTTTTGTTTCCTGGCCTCCAGACCCATCTTCTGGCCCAGTCCGCCCTCCGGTGAGTCCGTGATGTAAAATGGATGATATCTGTGGTGCCAAAAAAAGAATCTTTAGTGGAGATACAGCCTACCAATGCTGAGAATGCACTTACCTAGCTGGCTGGGCGGGATCGTTGCCGCCTTCGATGACGAACTCGTAGCTCAGGCCACGCTCCACAGTGATCTCAGGTATCAGCAGATCGTTCACATACCAGGCAATGCCCCACGAGGGCACACCCGTGATGGACGTATAGCCTCGCTTGCCACCCGTCGGCCCAATGCTGGCACGGAACTTCCTGACACCTTCGATCTTTCGCGTGGGCCATGGCCTGGGTCCGCTCTCGTCCTTCACCTCGTACAGCGAACTCTTGCACGCATGATCGTTCTGTAAAGTAAGTCCCCAAAGCTTGAGTCACGAAACGAATCCACTAGCAATTGGGCAACATTCAGGACTTACCCGAGCTGAGAAATTGATGCGAATGTCTTCCTGGTTGTGGTCGCCGGCTGTGTGCGAGTGGGCATTGGCCTCCTTGCGGGCATTGAGCGGTCCAATGGCAGCGATAACGGACACCTCGCGGTCAATGGGAATGGCCGAGTCGTAGATGACCTCGTTCGTCTGCAGCAGCCGCTTGTATCGGATGCTAGTCACTCCGTTCTTGCGATCCCCGCTCACTAGAAAGTTGCGGATTAGTGGGAGACTTGACTGGACCAGCTGATGCAGGCATTTCAATCACTTACACACATGCACATCATTGCGTGCCCCAATCCGCTCATCGGGACAGGCGCCTCGCTGTCCATCGCACTGCGACAAATCGGAGATGAAGTAATCCTCGGCCCGGAACACACGGGCATTGGTGTCGTAGAAGGCAACCACCACATCGGACTGGGACATCTGGGCGCGCCCATTGGCACCCGAGAGGCCAAAGGCCATGTACTGATCCTCGGTGATGCGGCCAAAGAGCTCTATCTGCAGATACTCACCCTGCAGCTCCCACTTCACCTGCAGCTTGTTGGGCAGGATCTCCCGGCAGTTGCTGTACACCGGCCTGGGCGTGGTGGTTGTCTGCAATGGGGGGACAGAGGGAGAGTGTTAGAGGAGCGGCTCGGGCTGTGGGTCGGGGCAGGCATGCATGAGGCTAAGTCTAGTACTCACGGGTGAATACCACCATGAAGGCTAATGCGGCGAGCATAAGTCAAAGAGATATACATTATGAGTTTTGTGCAAATGAGCAAATGCCAGCAGATGGATCGGGCTGTGGTCCGTGGTCCACAACTATCTATATAGATCTATAGATACTTTCACTCGATCCCACACTTACCGTTATCTTCGTCTGGCCCAGGGCTGGCGGCACATCCATGTCCCGTGGTATGTAGACATGTCCAAAGTTGTGCCTGTACTCCACACACCACACGGCCAGCCAGTCGATGTCGTAAACGGTCAGACTGCCCGGCAGCTGAATCTCGATATCCTCGCCCTGGTAGCCCCGCAGCGGTTCCAGCGATCCCACCTCGTTTGGCACCTGGACAAACGTATTTATTAATTAAGTAATTAATCTCCTGCTCTAGCGCTTATTCGATCACTGACCTTTATGCCCATGATGTTGGGTTCGCTGCCATTGCCCACCCAGAAGTAGGCATCGGGTCCGGCGCCATCGTAGTGCAGGTTCGGTCTGTGAGTGGGCAAGTGGGACGGGAAAAGTGTTAACAAAATACCTGAGATAAATCGGGAACTGAGTGGGGGCTTACATGTAGAAGGTCTTGGCATCTAGCACGCTGATGTTGCTGGATCGCAGGCCATGGGCCAGTCGCTTGAATTCGGGCAGTACCCGCGGCTTGGGTATATCCAGACCAGGTGGAATGAATACCTCACCAAAGTCAACCTATAATAAATATATATGATTTTATTTTTCCCCTTTTTTTTTCTTGATTTTTTTATCGTGTATTTTAAACGTTTTTTTTTTGGGTTCTGTGCACCAGAAAGGGGAGCTTAATTTGGCAACTTTTTATGACTACCCTTTGGGACTTTTCTTTATCTTTTATCTACAGTCAGCAGGTTTCCCTTTCCCAGTCGAGGCGTGGCATAGCCACACATAAAGATGCATTCGAATGAATCCTTTTTTTATGCATTTCTCTTTTTAAATTTATTTTACATTACAACTACATGCAATCTACATATGATCTACATTTGACATGGCGCTAAGCAAGCAAGCAAACAAACAAACATTTTGTTGTTGTATACCCAAAAACATTTGTACATAATATATGTTAATGAATGCATCTGTGTGGGGCCACACACCCTTACCCCGGCTACCCCTTACCCTAAGCCACAATAGCCCCCCAATGAACCCCATGAACCACTACACACACAAACAAACAAAAAAACCGGGCATGCGCGCTCAAAACTCCACAAACAAAACTCGCCCATACAGACACACACACACAAGGACACACACACACACAAGGACACACACACACACACAAACTAACCCCAATGTGGATGCCTCTGTGTGGGTGTGTGGCAGCCAGCCAGCCCCCAAGAAGTTTTTTGGCTGTCAGTCAATGGAAGGAAGCGTAGCGCACACACACACACAGAGACACCGCAGAGAGAGAGCGAGAGAGAGCGGAACAGATACAAAATGGGCACCCTGTATTCCTTACGAGTGTATCTACATAGCAGCCAGTGTATTGGTGTGCGTGCGTGGGAGAGTGTGTCTGTATTTATATGCAACCACTTGAGTTAATCAAAAATGTCTGCTGTAATTTATTTTACTACGGCCGCCATCTTTTTTTCGACCGTGCAGCAGCAGCAGCAGCAAACTCCAGGCCCAGGCCCCCCCCCCAAAAAAGGCTCCTCGCCTCTCCACCCATCGCGCCCCAAAAATCGAGTCAAAGAGTTTGGCTAACAATTTACAGATTTTTATTTGAGAATGCATTTTCCATATTCATTTTGTGTGCGTACAACAAACGAAATCTGCTCCGTGCCGTGCCATGGGGCAGAGTTGCCAAGGCAAACTTAAGCAGCTAGGATGGAAGGGGGAGCTGCTGGGTGCTGGGTGTGCTGGGTGCTCTCTTGGCCAATAGATTTGCATATGCAGAAGTGTAATTAAAATCTAAAACTCTAATGAAAGCAAAGTTTCCACTTGCCCGGACGGCCTGACCCATATTAAAATCTGCACAATGCCCGAACAAAAGACTAAAATACAGCAGCAAATTTAAGGCTGGATGCCCTAAGAAGAGTGTCCATTATGTACGAAGGATATATATATACACGATATATATATATATATGTATTCAAAGGATAAGTGGCTTGTCTGAGCAAACCCATCGGCCATTAGGAAGATTATTAAGACCAAATCGATGGAGAGGCAAGAGGCATAATGGTAAAATCTTTTTTTGTGCTGCTGCAGTTAAATTACAAAAATGTAATTACAAAAAAAAAAAAAACGAAAGCCTAGAGCCCGGCTAAATACACACATAAATCTAAGAGGATGGCGCGTGCCATCTTAAACAGAAGAAAAAACCAATTTAGAAAAAAAGAAGAGAAAAAAACAGATAAGGGGAGGAGGACTCACCGTGAAGCGTCTGCACCACACTGACAGCCAGCGAATGTCCTTAATCCTTTTGCCCATGGGTAAGCGCAGTATGATGTCCGTTTTATTGTGGGCCTGCAGAATGGGTGGATCTCTGTGGGTGGAAAAGCAAAGCACAAAAAAAAAACGAGGAAAGATTAAATATTGTAGGGGCCACGGCCACTCTCTCTGTCTGTTTGCAGACATGTATGTACCGCCCATGCATAGTTTATTAAAACTTAAATCCGAAACGGAGCCCACCCACAATTAAAGCGACAAAATGGAATTTAAACATGCCAAAGTATCCACCCTTGGGGCACGCCTTCAGTTTGTACTTCCATTACTAGTACGGGACTAGTGGGACGAGCGCATGGCATTGGATTAATGTGAAGACAGTCACAAAATGCAACAGTTCATTACGGACAGCATCCACAGCCAATTAGGTGGCATATACATGCATTGCATATATGTATGTATGTGTGTATGTACAGGAGCTTGGGGTGAGTGGAATGCCCCGTTGCTGGGGGGGGGCCCATTAAATGTGCGGCAAAAACCACACGACGAACGCACGACAAACCACAAACATTTCTCATTTTCACATATTCGCATTATTTATGAAGCGCACACTCTGATGAAGATTTATGGCTAATGCAACGATGCGAGGCATTACACACGTCTCGTATGAATACTCCTCCCGTGCCCCCTCCCAAGTGAACGGCGATGCCGATTACAACTTTTTGCATTGTGCTCAAAGCTTAAAGCCAATTAGTGACGTTTTTTTTTTACTTTTTGGGGCATCTATCATTGTGCCGTGCATCTGTGGGAATGTCTGTTGGTGCCTTGGCATACTTGGCGGAAATTATCACAATATAATGCTCGTGTAATTAGCAAGAGATGATTGTACGGTCACAACTTCACTCACAGACACATTCGAACCGAATGCCACTATTTGCCAAAGAAGCAATGGCAGGGAGGGGTAGGGGTAATCAACTTGAAGTCTAAGTATGCCAATCCCAAGGGGGTTGGATTCGCTTCCCAGCGTGAGTGTATCTGCTGGCTTTGGGCTGTCGTCATGGCTGGATATTCATTCATCAGCAAGTGCACAGCCATCCATCCAGCCAGCCATGCAGCTTGGCGATGGGCGATGGGATTGAGAGGGATTCTCGAGGGTGCTTGGTGGGGGTTGACGATCGATGAACTGGGACAAGTGTCAGTCGGTGTCGGTTAGTCAGTCAGTCAGTCAGTCACGAAAAAGGTCGCTGTCTAATGAATGTCAGGACAGGCCACGCTATCCGCATTAGACACGGCTAAGCACTTAGCCAACACCCTTGAAATGACGTTGACAGCGGGTCAGAGGTCGACACGACCTCGATGTGTCCATGTCCATGTCCCTGTACAGATTCCAGATTCCGGCAACAGTTGCAACAGTCCTCTCCTCTAATGAGCCAAAACAAATTGAATGGTTCTATGTCAACAGAGCATCAAATGTATCAAGAGAGATACCATCCCCCCATCTGTCGCTCTGTCTCCAGTGTCTTCGTTTCTCCAGTGTATCGGAGGAGCAGTTTTCTTCGAATTCTGTTTGCTTTCGATTTCTGCTTCCATTACTGCTTCCGTATGGCAAATATGTTTGTTGCTTTATTTGATTTGCTTGTCCTCTCGCTTTGTCAATGGTAGTCGAGGCAGAGAGGCGGCTTCTCTCCGCTTCTTCTGTGCAAGTTCGACATTTATTGATGCACTTAGACCACACTCACACACACACACACACAGACACAACTCCTACCATTAGATATCCAACCATCCATCGATTTTATTCTGTTTGCTCTCATGAAGCCTGCCTGCCTGCCTGCCAATAGGAGAAGCCAAGCCTCTCGCTCCCTCTGTGCACTTTTCACCCAATTAGTTGAAATACACAATTCAAAAAGGAAGAGCAAGTGAAAGAGGAAGGCTTTGCGAGCATTTTGTCCCTACAGCGAGGAAGGGCTTACCATTCCATATTTCTGTGTGTGTTCGGGCAGGCGGGCAGGCGCCACTCTCCCTAAGCCGTCGCCAATTTGGCATTTCAATATTTCAGCATTTTCGTGCTGGAAAACTTTTTGCAACTTGTTGCTCGCTGCCCTGCCGCTACTCCCTCCTAATCCTGCTGACTCTCTCGCTTGGCATTCGCCTGGCAAACAAAACGCACAACAATTGCCAGCATTTTGCGGACAATAAAACGCGCCAACTCAGCAGACAAACCAAACCATCCAATCATCCCGTCACAGTGACCCATCCCCATTCCCAACCCCATCCCCCATCCCAACCCCATACCATACCATACTTTGTGCCCCACACCGCAGACCGACTCCTCACCTCATCCACACAAAGGCCGGTGAGGAAACCACCACCAAAAATATTCAAAAATTATTATGAATATTTTATGTTTCCGTGACGAAGCCACCGCCACCGCTCCTGCCCCTGCCTCCGCCCACACTTGTCGCCTGTGTCGGCGGCAGACCACGAACAGATGAGTCCCAGCAACGACTACTCAATTAAATTTTGTAATAAAGTGCAGCGTGGGTGGAATTCTGTCGGTGGGATGGGGTGGGGGCGTGGGTGGCTGGGTTTGGCATTAATCATCCAAGCAGCAAACAACAATTAGCAAAGCATTTTTGCTGAGAAGAGCAATCTCTCGGATATGTAAGGCATAAACGGAGAGGGTGTACCAGGGGGGTATCTGCCTCTAAAGTACACTATTTGATAAGTGTTGCTCGGGCTGTGTTCAATTTTCGTAGCTATTATAAATACGAATGCTATACAATCCCCTTTTTCGCTATAGATAAAGTTGATCCATTTCAAGGCTAAAGATCTTCAGTTCCATCGTATCCAAGAATTTTCCATATATTGCATATCCCCTGCCTGTAGCCAGATTTCCACAATTCCAATATGCTGTCCACCGTCCGCCCCCTCTGAGGTGTGTGAAATGAGTTGCCTACTTTCGAGCGCGCAGATGAAGTGACAGCAACAGGCGAAACTACTTGATGGCTGAGTGGAGAGCAGGGAGGGTGGTAGAGGTAGGCTGTGCTTGTGTACTGCGAGCTGAGGGTGGGCTGGGGTGCGCTCTGGGTATTGCCATCAACTTTTTGCTGTTTAATCGAGTTAAAGCCATTTGCCACATCATCCGCTGGGCAGAATCGGAGGCAAGTCGACAGCCCAAAACTGTTTTTCGTGTTGCGGCTGCGTTGTCAGTGTTGATTAACACAATGCGGGGGGGCAGTGGGATGGGGCAGGGGCAGGAGAAAGGGGTAACAACACGACAATGAAGGACAAAACTAAAACTTCATTTTGCATGCAGCAAATTTTAATGAAATCTGCATAAATCAGCATTAAGCGAAAAGGCAAGCAAGCAACACGAAGGTGCAGGGAAAGGGAAAGGGGTGCCGTGCCCCATGCAACAACGGAGATGCAAATGAACAACAGCCCGGGGCGGGCAGGCGGACAGCGGTTGGGCGAGTGGCATGGCAGCGTGGCGACGTGGCGGCGTCATCCTCCCCCATTGTCATGGCAACGGGCGTTAATCAGCACGGCGTCGCTTTTATGCTTCTCAAAAAATTCTAATTTAATTACTTATGCTCGATGCATCCATTGTGACACATTCCCCACTTGCGACGGTCCACACCAAACCCCTCCCCTGCAAGGCAAAGCGAGCGTGAACACAAAAAGAAGTGAGCAGCAAAGGAGCTGTTGGCAGGGAGCTGTTAGCTGGGAGCTGGCTGCTGGGTGCTGCATCAGGACTCGGATTGGCAGCCCTTCAACGGAGCAAAGCCCGCCAGAAACAGTTGGGATAATTAAAGTTGATTGGCATGCCCGAGAAGCTTAGCAAGAAGCCAACTGAGGCGCGCTGTCACTTGCCGTTCTTTTCACTCTTCCGTCAGCAGGTGGGGCGGTGGCAGAGTCAGTGTCAGTACGAGAGACTTGTGGCAAAAGGGGTGAGAGTGAGTGTGAAGCTTTGGGGACAGGCTGCCTGCCAATCAGTTGCATCTATCAATTATCGCTTGGCGGCATGCCCCCGCAGAATGGGGGATCGCGCACGAGTCTATCAGAATCATTAGACATAATAAACGGGCACAATTTGTTTGAATAACAGCGCCACATAATACAGCAATCATCATCATCATCGTGTCCATGCCGTTCCCTCCGTCGCCACCTTTCCCTGCCAATGTCAGAAGGTGCACCCGGTAATGTACTCCTCGCACTGTGTCGTGTAGTGGAGGGGTAGGGGGAGGAGGTATGGCATGGCATGGCATGGCATGGGTAATGTGTCTGAAAGCGTAAAAGCGTGCAATCGCTGCGGCGTTCCGGCCTTCCACTTCCAACACCCAGCCCCAACCCCAGACCCACACACACAAATGTTGCTCTTTGTGTGCTGGTGGTGGGGGGGGGAGAAGGAAGTAAAGGAAGAGGATGAGATGGAAATGGAAATGGAGGCGATGCCATCGTTGTACATTGAACTAATAAAGCCCGGCACGTGGCATCAACAATGAAACGCATTAAAGTCGATTACAATATGAATGTTTTCGGGGGACCCGGCATAGCCTGGCGTCGGCTGTGGGCTCTCGCTGCTGAGTTCTGGATTTGGTTTGGTTGGGTTTGGTTTGCTTTGGTGTTAGCCTGCCTGCCATATACACATCATCAAACATCATCAAAAGCAAAGGATTCATTCTTCCTCTTCGAGAGCGTGGATACGCCAAAGCAGAGCGCTGAGCAGCTTTCTATTTTTCGAATGTGGAAAATCCAACGCGTAAACACTCTTAGATACATTTATATATACATATATATATATATATATTTTTTTATTTTATGGAACTGCGTAAAGAGCCTGCGCAGTGGGGAGGTATATTTTGCTGGCTCGTTTATTCTCCGCACGAAACGTTCTGTTATTCTTTGGCTTTGGCCAAAATATATTTCTATGGAAAACACACGTAAAAAGCGGTGTACCAAACAAAAAGGAATCGACTATTTTATAACGATTAAGAGCTTATATTTTATTGAAATGTAGGATTTTTGTAGGATTTTCCATGTTTGGAGCACACACAAATACGAGTATAGTTCAAGGCAAACCAATCGGTATGTGCATAATACCCAAAGCAGCGTAGCAGAAAGCAATTTGCGCTCAGTTCGATTGAACAACGTTTGGGGATTAGCCCTTAGGACTTTATCCGCTACGTGAGAATTGCTCAACAATTAAAAATAATTTATATTCGAGTATCTTTGCATAAACAAAGTTTCATGGCTTTCAAACATTGAGAACTAATCGTTTAGTGGGTTTCCAAAATATCTTTAACTGTGGATACCTCGGACTACGACATGTGTGGCATACACCTTCACTTTTTTGCCATGCAAATCAAATACAAAAATTCCCCTGCGGCATGTTTTCTTTTGGCGCACCTGAGAAAATGTCAATGACGAGTGGGGCAGAGGCCGGGCCACTTTACCTTTGCCTTGGGCTTTGGGGAATGAATGTTACAGTGGGATCATGCGAGTACTAGTACGAGTAGGGAGCAGGAGGGCAGGTGGGCTGGAGGGCAGGCTTAGTTTGGGGCTGCATTGTTCGTGATAATGAAATATGCAATGCTCAATGGCTAAGCAGCAGGCAAATGACGTCAAATTGTGTGCGTGCCACGGCAGTTAAGCAAGCGAAGGATGCACCAGCGGATCAGCCGGGTACTAGGACTAAGACTAAGGCTGAAAGCTGAGGCGGAGGCCAAGAGCGGCTTAGTGTGCTCAAGTGACGAGGAGACAGCGGCAGGCAATCGACAGGCAAGCGGCAAGGTAAATAGTTGAGCGGCTTAACCTTGTGGCGAGTCAAAGTAAATAGTGGCAAGAGCGGCGCAAAGCAAAGCAAGAGCCTGCCAGCTTCGCTATCTTTTTTCCCCCCCCGCTCTTTTTCCTGCTGTCTTGCGGCTTTTATTGTTTGCTGTTTGTGGCGGCTATGACTGTGACTGTGGCTGGAACTGGAACTGGGGGCGGCTGCCTCCACATATGTATGACCGCAAATCTAACGTAAAGAAATAAATGAGTTTTTCACATTAGGAGGCAACGAAGCGACGCCAACAACATCAACATTCACATCCACAACAAGAGCAGCGACAATGGAGATCTGGGAAGGGAGAGAAACGGGCACAACTGGCAGGCGAGATGAAAAATGTTTTTTAATTTTTGAAAGTGGTTTCATTGTCAGCCGTGCGTAACGTAAAGTCAGCAAGGATACATGGCCCACACACACACACACACACACACACACACACACACACACACACACACACACACACAAACACCCAGACACTACGAGTAGGAAATGGCCCTGCTGCGCTTGAGTAGCCAGGACATCAGCATCCACAGCTAGAGCCACAGCTAGAGCCCCATTCAGAGCCACAGCCCCCAAATCGGTCTGTGCTTTGACCATCAATAGAGAACCCGAAATATGGCGGGCTGTTTCCAATATACTCACACGCCCTTGTACTCCTCCGGATAGGGAATGATGTAGCCATCGGGGCTGGGGCGCGCCGTCTTGCCCACCCAGAAGAAGGCATCCGGTCCGGTGCCGTCGTAGGCGAACGACTTGACGAACATCGTTGACTCGTCCACGGCATAGATGTGACCCTGGATCCAAGCAAAAAGTGTCAGAATATATATATCATAGTATCATCATCAAACTAGGATGGATAGATAGGCGGTCGTATACCCACCTTGATGCCATGCGCAAAGTTGGTAAAATCTCCGATGTAGCGGCCGTAGTAGGGCTCCGGCGGTGCTCGTCTGGCAGCTGAGAGAGAGTGAGAGATGGAAAGATGGTTTTTTGTTAGTTGTAATGAAATTTCATTTAAACAAACTTTCAGAGTGAGTTTCGTATTTCAATTCAGAGTGCAGTTTCAGGTACACTCGTATATATGTATATGCATGTATATATTTATGTAGTTGCTGCCTTTGATTCTACGGATTCATAATCCGCAAGACTCAAGAAATTTGCTGGACACGAACAAAGAGACAGAGAAGCGGGAAAGCAGGAGAAGGCAGCAGCAGCCAGCCGCACTGCATGGCTCTGTACAAATTAATCCACGAAGAGAGCTTTGCAGAGAGCTTTGCCATACAAAAAAAGTTTCACCCACCTCCCTCGCTACCTACCTCCCTCCCACTCTCTCTCCGTTGAAACTGTCGATGTTCATACCGCTATGGATGCTGGCTGCTGGCTGCTGGCTTCTGCTTCTGATGATGATGACGAACTGGCCTGGCTCTGGCTCTGGCGTCAGTAGTCAGTCAACTCTGTTTGCAATCCTCTTGACAAGTCCCCGGGGAAATTGCTGCCATACCAGACCCATTCCCATGCCCGCTCCCATACCCATTCCCACTGGGATTTCGGCTTGAAATTGATTGAAAACCATGAAATATATTGAAATTCAATGCTAAGACTGACGCTGCAGAGCAGCAAACTCCGCTCCTGGCTAAACAATGCAAATGTATGCCAAATGTTTAAACAGAAGCCAGCAGCAATCAATGGAGGAGGAGCAGCCACGAAAGGTGTCAGGGGGCATGGAGGGCATGGGGCAGGCATCTGCTGCTACCCACCTACCTATCCATCGCTCTGGCAAATCCTTTCGCTGCAATCTCAGTTTGTGCAAGTTCCAGCAAATGATTTCATATTAAATCCTGATGCCGTCAGCTCATTCCGAGGGTGGCTTGGCCTCGTCGCTGTTTTGTGCCGTTGTTGCCAGGGTATTCCCCGGGAATGTCTCAATTGCTTACGGTATCCAGGACAACAGAAACTGTAGAGAAGACCCCCCCGTACCCCCGTAGCCACGTAGCCATGTAGCCACGTACCCGTACCCGTACCCGTAATATGAATTAAATCAACTAATGCGTGCATTAATCTCCAAAGTCTTTGGACCGCCGCTCAAATATATAGCAGAGCACGTGGCCCCATGAAATATATGTACGTGCTCGAGGATATTTATACAAAGTGATGACGAGCACGTTGACATCCTCCCTCCTCCAGAGCAGCAGCAGGTCCGGGCAGCAGCAGATACAACCATCACCATCCCATCACCAGCCCAGCCCATCACCATCCAATGCCATCCCCATCCATCTATCCCACAATGAAGTGAACCGGCCCCAGGCAGCCGGCACACGACCGCTGATGGTTGTTGTTAATAATGTTTGGTAGCTGTTCTGCTCTGTTCTGTTCGATGGGATGTATTCCCAGGAAGGTGGAGAGTTCGATGGAGGAGAATGGCAAGACAGCAAATAATAGTCAATGGACATGTCTATCTTTCTGGCTGGCTGAGTGGTTGTGTCTGGCCTGGCCTGGCATGGCCTGGCCCGTCTTCGTCTACAACTGAGTCGCCCAGATATTTCGTCATTGAAAGTGATAAGATTTTTCACAGCCGATAAAATAAAAGGAGGCAACGGCAGCGGCAACGCCAAGCGGTGGCAATGACGTTGCCAGGCGAGAGCTGGGGGATTTCTTTTTGACTTGTTGCCAGGCTAGCAAAAGGAAAATTGATTGGCAAACGAAACGGACACACAGCTAAAGCGGACAGATGGAAACACGACCCACATTGCGTGACATTTTCAGTCTTTCCCAAATGAGTTTTGCCCGGCATTTGTCCGGGAGCAGGAGCTCAAGGAGAATCACCCGGACAACCATTCGATGCGCTTTGGGTACGCACAGAAAACAATAAACGTTTTCAATCTACCAATCGCATTTAAGTGCAGGGCAGGCAGATCTCCTGAGAAAGGGGCAGACACATAAGCTCTGTAAATTAACGGGTTGCCAGGGGTACTTAGCAGGGGATGACGATGAGATGTGACACCCGGACCCAACCCAACCCCTTCCTTTGGCTTTGCCCAAATCTGCATTCTGCCACCAAGAGGGTTGCTTGCTGGCTGCTGCTCCTGGCTATCGCTCTCGTTACCACATTCCTTCCAGACAAGTGCCGTAGCCGAATGAAGAACTCTGAGCCAGGGTGAGGGTGGGTGAGTCAGTGGGTTCAGAGTGGGGGTAACCACAGGCAACCAGTGCATTTGATTCTGTATCTGATTTTGTATCTCCCTGCACGACAGATGGCTGCGATGATGATGGATGGACAACTGATTGACTCTCTCTTCAGTTTACATCAAATATTTGCTTAGGCATAGCAAGCAAGCAATAAGCGGGATTATTTGGTTTATGATCTTGAAATGTATTCGTATATGTCGGGACGGCGCGAACGCCATTCCCGGCTACCAAAAATTACACGCACGAGTTATTCACATTAGGAATAATCGCAGAGGTCAACTCAGCCGAAGTGCAATGGCCAAGTCTCACTCCGGAGGAACACGCCTTGGTGATCACGGTTAACCTCTACGCCAGGTAAGTATGCTTTTCTCAGCCATACTCAAGGGTGTCCTTAAAGCCACGACTAGAACCAGTTGGAAATTATATGGCAAGGGAACGTACAGAGTAGGTGCTGCCAGGGTACGACAGGGGTTGGGTTGGAAAATACAGGTAGCCAGTGTGACATTTTCCGCGCAGCTAACTGCGTCGAGGGAAACCTCGCTAATGATGTTATAACTGCCACAGAGCGAGGGCGACGCGACGAGCTGTTCGTATAATCTTCATATTTATTTCGTTTATTTGCTTGGCGCGGCGGCGACATCAAAGGAACAAATGATAATTAAATTCGCACTAATCTGCCCGTAATTTATTTTATCACATGCCCATCTTCGACTTTGACGTCGTCATCAGCATCCTCATTCCGCATCCTCATCCTCATTCCGCATCAGCCTTAACATCATCATCATCATTCGTATCCTCGTTGGGGGAGGTTCGGCTCTGTGTTCTGGTACGCACGCACGACCAGGACACACGAAATTCCAAATCAAATTTTCATTTACTTCCGAGATAGACTCTCTCCACCCGGGAGCAAAGCAAAGGCAAGGAGCGGAACGGAGCAGAACGGAGCAGAACGGAGCAGAACGGAAAGCAGGTCGCCCCTTGCCGGCGGGTTCATTGGTTGGCCGCCCAACCTCATTAAAGCTGGCAAATATTCCTCCCCAGGAATGTTGTCCTGTACCCTTCTGACAGGGGATGGATGCGATGGGATGCTGCTGGTATTCTTTCTGCATCTGTATTTGTCTTTTCGAGCATGTGTGTTGTGTGTGTGTGTGTGTGTGGGGGGATGGCCAAATCGAATAAAATTTAGCTGACTCAATAAAAATCAAAAAGCGTTAATGCTAACGATATGACTTTAACCTGAAACCGAGTAAATTGTTGCTTGTGTCAAAGCCAAAAAAGGGGGAGTCCTCTCCTGTCCCCTGCTGTCCTCCCATCTTCGTTCGCATTTGGGCGGAAAGGCGGCAGGATATGGCAACTGGAAGCAATATTGCACCGTAATCTGACAGCGACAATTTTTTGCCCGAGCTCGGCCAGGACGGAGCAGGCCTTCTTTCTTTCTTGGCAAACGCTGGGAGCTGAGCTGGGCTGGGCTAGCCCCCCAAGACTTGGCAGCGAAGCGAAAGCGTTTAATAAATGATGATAAATAAATAGGAAAGCGCGAAAAAGGAGGCTGGACCAAGGAACGAACCCAAAAACTAAACAAGGGCTCTGCTAATGAATGGAATGGGCTCTGAAGTGAAGCGCCGCCTGCCAGCCCTCCCCAATGATCGATGAGCAATGGAACCAGAAACCTTTTCTCTGGGACTTGCAGTGCAGACATTTGTTCCAATTACATATCATTGCTTTCCATTTTGATGGCAGTAATTTATCAAATTGCAGACTCTGAAATATATTTATGTATCTCTTGCGGGTCCATCGTTCGCTCCCGTAAACGACTTTTGAACCTGAGCATTTGAGTTTAATTTTGTATTAGGATTTTTACTGCACCAACCACCCAATGGAGCTCTTGAAAATTCAGGGTTCCAGGTTCAGCTACTACAGTCGCGCCCAGACTGAAATCTCTGATTTTTCAAAGTGCACACGGACTGAACTATTTAGATTGAGCCGTTTAGCTAATGCACTAGCTATATAATGTTAATTAAATTTATTATTTATGTCGGGACGGCGCGAACGCCATTCCCGGCTACCAAAAATTACACGCACGAGTTATTCACATTAGGAATAATCGCAGAGGTCAACTAAGCCGAAGTGCAATGGCCAAGTCTCACTCCGGAGGAACACGCCTTGGTGATCACGGTTAACCTCTACGCCAGGTAAGTATGCTTTTCTCATCCATATTCAAGGGTGTCCTTGAAGCCCCGACTAGAACCAGTTGGGAATTATTATCGTAGAAAGTAGAGAAAAATCACGCATTGAGAAAAAGGAGTACGAGGGAGTACTTTGTTAGTTTGAGTACCTGAAAGGCTAACTGACCGTAAAACCGAAAGATCTGTTGAGACTGGGATCAAAGACTACAGAAAGCAATGTTGATGGAAATATCAAAATTTCCGTGCTTACCTAATGTTTAGAGACAAACCACTATAATTATTAGGTAATCTTTTGCTGTGAGGCTAGAATAGGAAGACAGGACGAAAGTCCAGGAAGTCCACTTTCTGACGATTACATCTGAAGGTGAGCTCAAATTTTGGTTTTAAGCCCGTTCTCCAGGTATCTTTGCATCATGCGGCAGGTCTCTCATACGCACTCGAATAACCAAGGGAAACGAAAGAAGCGACTGTCGTGAAAAACTATTATTGGAATAGCTTCCCCTTGTACAGACAGACTTTATTTCAGAATTAGGCGACTTATTTCCTGCAAAGTGTGAGGACTGTTGCTTGAAAACTACTAAACGA